ATTTGGGGATCAAGAATGCTGTTCCTAAAACCATTATGCAGTTGATGAGCGTGGATGGCCTTACCAGAGAGAATGTTGCTAGCCATTTACAGAAGTACAGGCTTTATCTAAAGAGGATGCAGGGCATGTCCAATAATGGAAGTGGTGGCAACAATAGCCCTGCAGCATTGTCTGCTTTAGGAGTCGACCCTGCGACCGACCATTTGTTCGCCAGCTCCCCTGTGCCGGCGCATTTTTTGCACCCAAACAGGCCGAATTCTGATCATTTCATGCCCTTTGTGCCGGTAGCCTCAATTCAGCATCATCACCCAATGCCGGTGGTGGGGCCAGGGCCAGGGCTGCTCCACCATTCCCAACAGCAATTTAGACATTTTGGGACTTCACCTTCGAATGGGCAGTTTGAACATCCGTTCATTAGGCCTTCACAGGCAGTTCATAGCAATAACGGTTCTGTCATTGCACCACATTTGGAGGATTTGGAGTTGGCCACTCCCACAAATGGGAGGAATATTCTCTCTCTTTTTCCATCTTGCGATGTTTAAATTCAAACTTCTGCATATTCCTAATCAGTTTCTTTTCTCAGCCTAGTGAAAATCTGTCATTGAAGTTACAATTTAGTATTAAGACTTTAGCTGCCGTTTCTGTTAATGGTTTTTTTTTAGCTATTCTGATGCAGTAAAATTGAGTTATTGACATCCAAATGACATGAAATAAACTTGCTTCTTATGTTCTTGTTATCGTATTGTAAATCTCACTTTATGCTTATTGGAATCAGCAATTGCATGGTGAAAATTTCGTTGTCGGTTAATACATTCCATTAGTGTAAGTTAAGTTATCGGCATGTTAGCTTCTGATTGCAGATATTAATCCGTGTAGTAGTATATTTCACATCCTTGCAACTATGCGAACCATTATCTTGTTTTTTGTGGTTTGAAAATAGTTCTCTTGTTTCTTAGTTTAGTATAGAATCAAGTACTACTTCTAAATTGTGTGGTTAAGTGGACATATAAACCTTAATTAAGATTCTTTTAGAAGAAGAAGAACAATTCTATTGGACTAAGAACAACTTAGATATTGTGACAGCATTTCCTATAGTTTCTTTTTTTATGTTCAATAAAGTCTTTGCATGATTTTTATCTTTTTCTTCTGTTAACTTTATAAAGCATACATTCTCTTAGCTATTTGTTCTGTGAAGGTTTTATTTGGTACTATTTCGTTCTTCATTTGAAAATGCATTGAAATAACTTTGATTTCTATATACCTTCGCAGTGCTGCCGAAGTTAATGCTTTATACTGTAATGGCTTGTTTGTAACTAAAGTCTTGTGTTCAGTGGAATTTAGCAAAAAACAGTTTTAGAAAGTGAGTCTGCCTTGGAATTTTGCTGCTGCTTGAGTTCAGTTCCTAGCATGGTGCATTTGTTTTACTCAGTTGAACATAGAACTTAGAAACTTTAGATCCCTTCTCGTTTAATCTCTGAAGAATCTTGAAATTTTACTGATTCGGCAATCGGCATCACAGTGAATGCCTATATTAGCTTGTTTGATATGCAATTAGTCGTTTTATTTATTGTAGATATACACATATGCATGAAAACTTTATGCTGTCGAAATGAAGTATAGTTAAATCCAGTTCAAGGTGCGCATCCATGTATTTGATGTACGAAGAAACTTGAAGATTTTAGTTCGATTCAAAATATAACTTTACAGTTTTCTATATCGCATTTCACGATTTATGTGATCTTTTGCGGGTTTCTCTCGACTAACACAATGACTGTCGCTTCGTAACTAGATTTTATAAGTAGTTCTAAGTAGGTAATAATGTTTCTTTCTAGTTTGAATCGTGTGGAAGTAGCTGAGGCACTGGAGGTTGGACTGATTCAAGCAAAGGTACCAAAAATCTGGTTACAGAATGTGTGCTTGTAAAATGTTTTATAGGTTGATGAACCCAACATGAGAGGACAGACAAAGTTGGTGACATGCTTTCTTTTTCTCAATTGATTTTACCCTTGTATATCGAGTGAACTGGACATCATCCATCTAGGTGTGACAAATGAGCTGAACTACTTGTGAGCTCGACTCGACTTATTTTGGTAATTTTTTACAGAAAAAGAACAGACTCGTGAGACAACTCTACTCGTATCATGAGGCCCACAAGCCGAAGGGCCAGTCCAGGCTTAGGATTTGAACGAGCCAAGCTCGGTTATTTAGAGGCTAAGCTCAGTGCCACGGTGCCACCATGTCGCTTCATAAAAAAATTGAAAATTTGGAACCCTGGGGGAGCATTACTTGCCACAACTTGGTGTTAAATTTACCATATCCGTTGCATGATAGAAGTATTGTTGATTTATAAGATAAAATAAATAACCAAATAGCACCATTTGATTAAATAGATAAAATGATTGTCTTCTAATTTTTCATAAGAACCACATCCAATTTGCTTACGTAAAAAGTCCTCTCGTGCTAATTGTACAGTCCGTAGCATAACATTTGTTAGCAAATAGAAGGAAAGATTTGGTTACTGAATGTACTCTGATACTTGAGTTAGATGTATAAGAATCTGCTTTGCTTTCAAAATTTTCTTACCATTCCCGTTGTGCTTAAACTAGCATTTCTATAGAAGCACGGAGAGTCTCATGCGTTGAACATGCTCGATCACCATAGCATAGCAAGAGTCTCTTGAGTTCGACCCGGACATATGTTGAACATTTGAAGTTGTGTTGTGGCCTGATGGCCATGGAAATGCCTATCGACGAGAAAGAAAGGCGCTATATAAAAGGTGTCATTGCCACCTAACCTAAAACGTACAGTACCAAGAAAGTCTGTACTAACTGAAATCGAGGCATACTGTCTATGTGGCCTTAAAAAAACTGGAGTGAAAGGTTTTGGTACTCATCCTTGTAAAGTGCATTCAGTATTTCAACTACAATGTACTCAATGAACTGGGACGATATTAAAGAAGGAAAAAAGATCGTCAAACTTCGATAATTCAGCTGCATGTTTTCTGCATTTTAACAACCAAAATGACTCCATAAGGATAAAGTTACCTCTAGCCAGTTATATATTAGGGCCGGTCGACCTCTTCATGATTGAGCAAAATACCTGACATAGGCAAGGCTGACATAGCAATAATTATAGAATCACAAACACAACATTTTGTAAGCATTAAATCTCTCTACAAACAATATAGTCAGTCCAGAAGTAAATGGAAATTGAACCTAAATAAAAATACCAAGTTTACCAGCGACATTTCATCTAAATCAATAACTCTAGATTGGACAAAAAACAGTATCTCATTCAGTAATACAGACATTCTCCTCCCAGCTAATAATTTGATTGTCATGGATGGTTCTGGGAGTAGTCAAAACTTAGTGGCTGCTGATAGAAGGGAGCCTACAACAAACAGAGAAGGTTGAATTAATTGAAAAATTGCAAACACCACAACGGATAATTAAAACAACTGTTCTCCATATGCATTAGTCAACAAAAATTTTCTTTAGTGCAGTAAAAAGTCACATTCTCCAATATAAAAATCCGTAGTGATCCCAAAGAGCGATAAAAGTAATGAAGAATCGGCAGATGCCTACCTGAAAAAAGGTCTGCCTCATGTGATCACATGAGTGTGCATACATCATCGACTGGGTTGGCCACTGCATGTATAAAGCATCCCTAGAAGTCTGATTCAATCCCATTGCATGGTAAGGGCTCATAATGGGGCTCCTGTAATTGATGGAAGCTTGAGCGACAGGCATCTGACGCAGCTGAGGAATAACAGAATCATATTGCACATATGGAGGTGGGAATTTTGGCACATGAATAGGTGCTACATTGAAACTTTGAATGCTCGG